GCCCAGCCAGCCCAGCCGCGGCTCTGGTGACAGAGCAGTGTTGAGGTGAGCCCATCCAATGCCTTTGGGGACCCCCAGTGCTTGCGCGGTTCCTACTGCTCCCTGCACCATGTCGTCTTCTCCTATGGCAGGAGAGGCTGCGATAGCTGGTGGTGCAAAACTTGAGCTCTGTGCAGAGCTGCCAACCTGGGCTGTAATCAGTTCGTAATCTGCTCAGAGCCTTTGAGCATGTGAAGCTGTGCACAAGCTGAGCATACTGTGATGCCCTGTGCTGTGTCCCCCCTTCCTGCCAGCTTGAGAATGAGAACAGCCTGTAGTGACAGCTGATAAATGTCAGGAAATACAGTGAGCATTAGCAGGCGAGCTGAATGAAGCGAAGGGAGCCAGGATGAAGCAGAGCTGCAAGGGACTTCCCATGGAGGAAGCACCTCCAGGTATGTCTGTGGGAGGGAGCATGGGGTCTGCATTGCACATGAAATGCTGTTTGTGTTTGCAATGCCAGGAGTTTCCCAAGGCTGCCTTTCTGCTGCCCACGGTCTTCTGCATTTTGATCAAAGAGGGAAGGTGAATTGCTGCCCTGAGCACCCTGCCAGGTTTCCAGCGTTGCACTATGAGCACCAGAGGAGGCTCAGTCAGGGCACTGCCCCGCAAGGCGCAGGCAGCAGGCACAGGACGGGAGGCCGGTCCTGTCGGTGTGCGTGGAGGCTCCCGCGCTGCAAGGGGACACGCCGCTCCCCTCCTGCTCGAGTTTCCTCGGCACAGGCACCGCCGCTGCCGTGAGAACCAGGCGGGTGCCTCGCTCCTGCTGGGAGCACGTTCAGTGCAGCAGCTTTTCCCCGCTTCCCTGTCCTACACCTGTCGCTCCTTGGTGTGTAACGGTTCTGTTACCGCCTGGGCCACACTGTGAAACCTTTTGGTGTTTTATATCTGTCAGCCTGTCCTAGAGGCAGGCCCACTTTTGGAAACTTTTCCTTTGAATTTAGGCTAATTTGCCTGTTTTTTTTTTTTTTTTTTATTTTTGTAAGAGCCACAAACCATTTCACTGCTCCTGCCCGTTCCATAGACGCAGACCTGGTGCTGCTGGTGAAGTTGTTTCTGAGCAGCCTTTCCTTGTTCCTCTCTTCATCTTCCTGCCTGCTCTCATCTGCCCCAACATGACCTGTTCTGCCTCAGTCGTTATTTTTGCACTTTATTTGCTATGATCCCTCTGAGACTAGGGTAACTAATTAGATTAAACTGGTCTTTTGGGGGGTCTTGTAGCAAATTTACTTTACAGAGGACTGTAACTCATTCCCTTGGTAACGGCACGAACCACTGCCCGTGTTACACCTGGTAGCAATGTCAGAGGTTCACCATCCGTGAAGCACGTCAGGTATATGCTGGGCAACGAGGGTTTCATCCCTTTGCAGCTCCAGCCCATGCTGCTCTGAGGCACTCAGGTCCCCTCACTTCTGTATTCATCCACTCTTGCCCTGTTCCCTCTGACTTTCCTTCCCTTTGAAGTCTCCTGGGTTATTTTTTCCAAACTAACTAGTTGCATGGGAACATCATTATGCTGTTTTTTGTTTTCTGGATCTCTGATATTTCAACATTTTCCTTTGTCAGTTTCATATCATCTGTAGATTTTATTAAACTGCTGTTTCTTCCTTTCCCTGCATTACTTCCCTGAATCTGCCCAAGAGCTAAGAGCGTGTTACTAAGATTAGGTCCTTCTGTGTCAAATGCTCCACATTT